AGAGAGAGAGAGAGAGAGAGAGAGAGAGAGAGAGAGAGAGAGAGAGAGAGAGGAGGGTGGGAATAGATGGTGAGGGGAATTTTGCTGATAAGGAGCTAAGTTGTGCAAGGTTGTTTATAGTGAAGTGTTTATGAATTGGTGTGAGAGAGAGTCTAAGATAAGTGACTTGGAAAGAGGAGAGTTGAGTTTTGGAAGGTGAGAGCAAGTAATCTCTGGAATTGAGGAGACTGAGGAATGAAGCAGCTATCAGAGATGGAAGGAGTTCATCTATATACTGAAGCAAACTGGAGGAAAAGGGGGGAAGCAGGCCAGGTACGTAAGAAGGAGGTAGGTCTTATGTTGTTGTTGTCTGATGTCGCTAAGTGGGCTCATTCTTGAGTGCTAAGAGAATCAGTAATGTTCCTGGGTTGTTTTAGACTTTTGATTTTGGATGGAAGAAGCAAATTCCATTGCTATTGATGGCTGGCAAGCCAACATTCAGACACAGAGTATCCCCTGGGATTCAAGTGGCTGATGAGGAGGTCTCTGTGATGGAGGGGTCATCACTCAAGCTCTATCACCAAAAATGGGATTTGTGTGTACAAGGAAAAACATGGCAACTTTGCTTTTGGATAGTTAGAGATGGACAGAAACTAGAATCTGGCTGAACAGCCATCAAAATCAAATGGAAAACTTCCAACCTGAAGTTGGGTCCTGTTGACCCATGGATACCAATGTAAGGGAGAGTAGCCCCATCAGAGTCAGTAGAGGACGTACCCATTCACCAAGTTATTGGAACGAAGGAGAGTTACTACCCTGGAGGGTCAAGCAGATGGGGAGGCTGTAAAGTCAGACATCAACCTAAGCAGCAGTTGCAGCAACATGAGGAGGAAGGGGAGGAAGAGGAGGAGGAGGAGAAGGAGGAAAAGGAAGAGGATGGGGAGGAGGATGAGGAGGAAGAGGAGGAGGAGGAATAGAGAGGTGTTTCTGCAGGAGTGAGGATTTTAAGAGGAAAAGAGGCTGTCTGTGCTAGGATGTGTTGGTAAATATTGATTGGTCGTGTTAGTCAAATAATGAATTCTAATTATTGGATCATGGTGTTTAGTTTCAAGAATGAGTCAGTGACCAAATAATGGAATAGACCTTGGGGATTGTCTTTAGAAATCTTATGTAATGGTTTAGCAAGGGGGAAGGGTCAAAAGCATAACCTCTTGGCACCACATTTGGCATGCTTGGGCTGGTGAGAACACTTCACTTAGGAGCATGTGGTAGTTTCAATGAGACTGAGCTCCACAGCTTAATGTGTTTACACACTTGGGCCCTAGCTGAAGAGCTTTTAAGAAGGATTAAGAGTTGTGTTCCTGTTGAAGGAAGTGTGTTGCTAGGAGTGTACATTGAGATTTCAGAGACTCATGCAAAACTTGTTTCTCTCTGTTGTTCTTCCTGCCTGTGTATTAGGATATTAGATCTCAGCATCGTGGCTATCTGCCTGCTGTGTGCTTCCTGTGATGATGAAACTGAACTAGCATTATGGGCTCTCTTTTTTCTAAACAGGTGTTTGAGCTCTTCTCTGCCATCCTGAAGTACTTTCCTGGCACCCACAGACAAATCTCCCAAAACATACAGGAAATCCTCAACTACATTGGCCACAGTGTGGAGCAGCACAGGGCAACCTTGGACCCCAGTGCTCCACGAGATTTCATTGATACCTTCCTTCTTCGCATGGAGAAGGTTATTCCTGCATGGATGAGAGAGGGGATGTGTGAGAGTGAAGGATGGGGATGCCAGAGAAAAAGAGGGAAGGGGGAGAGAAGATGGCAAGGAGAGGCAGAAACAGTATAGGAAATACAGAACATCTGTAGTAAAAGAGAAAGCAAGGAAAAAATGACATAGAGAAAGAGAGAAGGGGTATGGCAGGGGATGAAACACAGAGCAGGGGGCAGAGAGCAGAAAGATTGTAGAGGAAGGAGCCTAGGAGGCAAAACATGGTAAACCACTGAAGAGCAAAGTAGAGAGAGAGAAGACAGAAGAGTCCAAGGGACATTGTCTAGGTCCTAGTAATGTTCAGCTGTCTATTTAGTATGAGACTCACAAATGGAAGGACAATACCTAGAGATGTTTGTGCATCTCCCTGCAAAGGTCCAATCACCCATGAACATCCTTCTCTCTCCCATTTGAAACCAGGAGAAGTTCACCGACCATACGGAATTCCATCACCAGAATCTCATGATGTCTGTGCTGTCTCTCTTCTTTGCTGGCACTGAGACCACCAGTACCACGCTCCGCTATGGCTTCCTGCTCATGCTCAAGTACCCCTATGTTGCAGGTGTGCCATGGGTAGACAGTTGAGGCATCTTCAATCCCTTCTTGGTTGTAGGGGTTTGTTGTGTGTGAGTGAGATGTGGGCCACTTACATCTGGAGCTCTGAAGACTTTGTTCTACTTGTAAACTAAGACAATGCAGTGGTGGTATGTGAATGAATAGTCAGATGACCTGTTTTCTCCTATCATTTATAGTTTGATCTAACCATCCATCTATCCCTCCTTTCTTCTGTCCTTCTGCCTTACTTCCATCTTTCTATACATTCACCTCTTCATCTGTTTACACATTCTCTTCATTTTCCACCCATTTATTACCTATTTATCCCTTTTCTATCCATCCATTTTAAAATTAATTAACATAAAGGGTGATAAGTGGAAAATATTCATATAGGTTTTAGTTTGCTCATTTTTGTCACTAGTCAATCTTTCCTTTTATTAACTAACTCATCCACTTCTTGGATGTAACAATTCAAAAACAGTTTTATGTTATTGTGAGCATGACTGTCACAGATCATCCAGGGACATATCACCAGAATCTCAGCCTGGATTTAAAATTCTATTTTAATTTAATATGCATTGGTGTTTTTGCTTGTGTATGTCTGTGTGAAGGTGTTGGATTCCCTGGATCTGGAGTTACAGTGTGAGCTGCCATGTGGGTGCTGGGAATTGAACCTAGGTCCTCTGGAAGAGCAGTCAGTCCTCTTAAACATTGAGCAATCTCCCCAGCCCTCTAAATTTTTACATATAAATTCCCTGCAAAGGTGTATGTGTGTGTGTGTGTGTGTACCTGTGCATGCAGGAATACAACTGATAACATTCATTGCATTCTTGCCATTTCTCCTGCAGCCCTCACTCCAGACTGACAGTTGAAATGGCCCTTTGATGGAGGTTTTCCTTTTCTCTCTTTCATAAGTAAGGTTGGATATTGTTGAGAAGAGACTCTAACATGCTTTAAGCATGGTTGGAGAGACAGGTCCTTGAGAGAAGCACAGGTGTGTGCATCCAAGAGGTCTCTGTGTCTTTCTCAGCAGTCTCCTTGCTCTGAACTGTTCCTGGGTTATTGGATCCCAGAAAACAGCATCACTGTGCACCGCCTTCCAGATGGGGGCACTGTCTGTTATCTTCCCTTTCTGAACAGACAAAGTCCAAAAGGAGATTGATCAGGTTATCGGTGCACACCGGGTCCCAACCCTTGATGATCGCATCAAAATGCCATACACTGAGGCAGTCATACACGAGATTCAGAGATTTTCAGATCTTATCCCAATTGGTCTGCCACACAGAGTCACCAAAGACACAATGTTCCGAGGATACCTGCTCCCCAAGGTGAGACCAGCTGTTATTCCTCATCACTACTCCATGATTGTTCTCCACTCTCCTAATCACAAACCTCATCCTGTCTGTGGTTTCACTGCATTCTGTGTTTTTTAGGGACTGACTGTTTTGCATATGGGAGTCAGGGTTTCTTAACATCTTTGTATCTTGTAACTTCTCCTAGAACACCGAGGTGTACCCCATTCTGAGTTCAGCTCTCCATGACCCACGCTACTTTGAACAACCAGACACCTTCAATCCTGAGCACTTCCTGGATGCCAATGGGGCACTGAAGAAAAGTGAAGCTTTTCTGCCCTTCTCCACAGGTGAGACAGACTTGTGAAAGACACCAGAGGGCAGTCCCACCCTCTTAGACACAAACAGCAGTAAGGTCCCTCTTTTCTGAGTCTATCTCAATTGCCTTACCTGGCTCATTCCATTGATACTGGTAACAGTCCCATGAACTAAAGGAAGTCTTGAACTAAAGGAGTATCCTGGTCAGGAGGACTTTGGGGAATTGTTTAAATGTCTCTAAACCTGAGAAAATTCAGTTTCTTGATTTTTTATTTTATAACTGTTGGAAACCCTTTTAAAACAACTGAAAAAAGTTTGTCTTTAATCGTAATTAAATGCCAGACAAAAGAGAATCTTTACAGAGAACAAAATGAGCTCAGTGCAATGGAGGGCTTCCACCACTCTCTTTGAAATAAAGAGCTGGCAAATAGAGGAGATGGGAGCACTGAATATTCCACTGTCAGCAAGCTCATGACATCCTAAAGCCAACCAGTATTTCCTATGCAAAGTCCTAAAAATAACAGAAGATGGCTTCTTTGCTTTAGGAACTGTAATGACCAAACTAACTCATCAATTCTTTTTAGTTGCATCCAATTCATCAGTTGTATGTTTTAGTCTTATGTTTCTCCCCCCCCCCATTATTACAAATAGACTCTTTTCTCACACAATATATCCTGGTTTCTCTCCCTTTACTCATCCCAATTCCTCCCCACCTCCTCTCCCAAGTAGATCCACTCATTAGAAAGGAATAGGCATCTAAGAGATTAAAAAACAAGGCATAATGAAATAAAATATAATACAGTAAGACAAAACTCGTGACATCAAATTTGGACAGTGCAAGCCAACAGAACAAAAAGATCCCAAGAGAAAGCATAAGAATCAGAGACCCACCCATTCACACACTCAGAAATCTCATAAAAATAGTAAACTGATATCTATAATATGTATACAGAGGACCTGGTGCAAACCTAGGCAGGCCCTGTGCATGCCCTTTCAGTATGTGAGTTCATATGAGCTTTGATCATGTTGATTTAGAGATCATGTTCTCCTGGTGTCCTCTATCTCATCTGGATTTTACACTCTTTAGCCTCCTCTTCAGCAAATTACCTGAGCTCTGAGGGGAGGGATTTGGTGGAGACATCCTATTTAGACTTGTGTGTTCTAAATCTTCTCTGTGAGTAATGTTCTGCTGTGATTCTCTGTATTTGTTTCCATCTGCTGCAGAATGATGTCTCCCTGATGACAGCTGAATATTGAAGCAATGAATGAGAATAGTAGAATTTCTTTAAGAGTCACTCTAGTATGACTTTTTAAAACCAGTAGCATTTGGTTTTGTCCTAGGTATCTGGGCTATCTAGTCACTGGTTCTCTGTCAAACCAGATATTGGATGGTGACTCCCACAAGCTTTGTGCCACCATTGCACCCCAGCACATTTTGCAGGCAGGACAGCACTCTACATCAAAGATATTATGTCTGGGTTGGTGTAGACATTTCTCACTCAGTAGCCTGCAGAGTACCTTCTGCATCAACAATGGAAGAACATGAGGTTGAAGGTTTTATGTAGGATGCAGATTGATATCTCAATGATTGATGAGTTGTGTGGGTGTGGTCTTCATCAAACTCCATGCTTGATGAGTTGTTCTTGTTGGTAGAGAACAATCTATTGTATTGTCAACAACCTGGATGGTTTGGGCATTTCTAGGAGACCACTTTGGCTGACATCTTAGTGGGTTTAAACCAGTCCTGTTGCTAAAAGCTTCATTTAATGACAAGACTTGGCTATTTGAAACTATGTCTCTGGCTTATTTGGAGACTTCATTAGGACTGTCTTCACATAA